GCTCTTATTATGTAACCCGTTATTCTTCTAATCTTACACAAAACACTATAAAATTTGTGGGTGTGAAACTATGGAATACGCTTCCTGATTCTATTCGTTCTAAAAATTATTATCCATTTAAACAAGCATTAAAAAATCTTTACCTTGATGCTTATATCTCTCAGTAATTTGGCCTTTGTTTGGACTATCTGCTTCAGATTTGTGAAAAGATGAATACTGCAAAACACCTATATTGTCTTCATTTGTTTCTTTTTGCACTGTTTCCAAAATATAAAAACAACGCTGCAATGCGAACGGCATTGTCAATATCACTATTCGTTGATGTATAATTTTGAATATCCTGAGCATTCGGTTATTTCTTGCTGTAGCACTGCAACTCGGTACCGGTATATATAAATCTTATACCCAAAACAAAAGCATATTTGATGATTAATTTCCTCCATTATGTATTAATAATTATCAATTATTCTTTACTACTATAACTTCGAAATGGTTTTCTCTCTCGCCCGAATATTATTGATGTACCCAGAACTGCTAATATATTTTCCCCTTGGCAGTTGTTGGGAATTCCCCTTCTGTTATCTGAAATTTGCAATGTCATGTTTTTTTCTCTGTGCTCATCTGAGCATTACGTTAATAAGCTAAACTGACTTTAACTATATAATCAGTAATTACTACAGTTAGTTACTATAATCAGTAATCTCTTGACTCTCTCGATATTATTTTGCCAAATTGTATTCCCATTTTTGTTAAAGAATAATTAGTTGATTTCATTTGACGTCATCTGCTGTTGAACTCAGCAAACACGGTGTCGCTGACACGATGACTCTGGTAGTCTTTCGCGGCCCCGCGTCAATTGCGGAAATATTGTGTGCCTTTCTATTTCAATTGATCTTTTTGTTAGCATTTTATTTTCTTATTACTTGTGTCGCTACAATATTTCATGCACGACGGAAATAAAATATCTGAATCTGACACATGGAGTGCTTCTTTACGCCGCGGGCAAACAACGCAGCGTTTGATTTTGTCTGCAAAGGAATGCTGTGACATTCTGGTGAATCAAATAGGCGATCGTCTGCGAACTGACGACGCCTATTTCTTCCGCCGACGCGAAACGAACATTCAGCACGCTGAAGCGTATTGAAACGTATCTCAGAAACACAATAAAGCAAGATAGATAAAATTCCTTGGCTGTTTTATCCATTCACAGAGACGTTATTTCTGGGATGCATGACTTTAATCAGCGCGGTATTGAGCATTTTGCTTCCAAGAAACCGCGGCGTGTTGCATATATGTTCAAGCAGTAGAAGTCTAGCAGCATTTATATCTATGAGTGAGCGACGCATGTCCTTATCTTTGCATTAACTTTCCTTTCTTCATAGTAACGTTTTAAACCTTATTTCAGGTTTTGTCTGCTTTCCCGAAGTTTCTGTTAATATGTCATTGTATTTATCTGGGTAAATATTGCCTTTCCTTTTGAAAGAGGTTTCAAAATAAACTCTGTCTATATTTATTTTTCCCTTGACTGGGACCGGTTTTGAAGACACTTGCTTATCGTTAAAATTGTCGCTTTTGCCGATTGGTTGTTACCGATGGAATGGATTTTATACCCATAAAATGATGGAAGAACTTACAGCGCTCATCCTGTCCCCGTAGATGGGGGTGACTTGGTCCCGCAGTAGCTTGCCCCGGTTGTCAAAATGACCACGCGCCGCCACTGTTGTATGGAAATAAAATATATGTCAGGATATGGTAAACCATATAACATAGATCAGCGATTCCCAAACTGTGTTCCGCGGAACACTACTGTTTCGCGAGCGTCTTCCGAGTGTTCCGTAGAAAATAAATCAAAAATACGTTTAAATGGGTCGCCATGGCGATCTAGGGATCGTGAAGTTGTCGCGTTGTCGCCCAACTGACCGTTCAATATCGCGTCACCGTCGACCTGAAGCGGACTGAGGTAGGGTAGTGGCATTTTCGTTAACCGTCGGCCTAGCTTTTTGACAGTTAAGTTCATTATCAAGTTTGCAGACATCCTTTTGGTTTTTCTATAGGCAAACAAGTAGGTCTAAAGAACAAAGACAAATGGTCAATTCTTCTTCCACCATCTCTGCTTGGGTTTTCTTTAAATGCTGAGGAAATTACTCATGTTCGCTAAACTCGATTCGGCAGATAAATATACTGCAGCTCGCGACGTTGCAGCAAGTACGTCTATCTCTATTGAACGTAAATTAGTGGCAAACACTACGTAATGTAAAGTAAAAGACATAGAAAGGTAAATGAATTTGTTGATTCATATACATAGCATTTAAAATGCGAAACAATAAAACATATATGTTAAATGCAATATGTAAAATATTCAATCATATTTTTGTTACGTTTAACACAATTTGTTAGTTTTCGTGGCGCATTTGGCAACACCCTTCGGGAACCGCTGCGTTACATCATTTTACTTTATCAATTTTATACTTTCATTTTTTGGTGTTCCGCGAAGCAAGATAAAAAGTGTAAGTGTTCCGTGGCCGAAATAGTTTGGGAAACGCTGACATAGATAATCGAAATGTAGTGAAGCATGCAATCTTGCAGTGCTTAAAATTAGAGGCACTGGTTGAAAGAAGGTCTAACGCAGTGGTTCTCAACCGGGGGCCCCCCAAGGGGGCCACGAAGCAGTTCAAGGGGGCCACGACACAAGCCTAGTAATTTAATATGAAGCGACTTCGTTTGCATTCTTTTCATTTAAAAGAAAATTCCCCGTTCACCTCAGTTTTATTACTTCAGTCACTAGGTGTATTCACTTTTTTGTGTGTGCGAATTGTTTGAGCATAATGGAATTTAGAATCTACTAATCCGAATAGTTTGTTAGTAGGCCATCTAACAGCAGACGGGCAGTTTCGCGAGACTGCGAGATAACGGTCAATATCATGTTATAACTGCAGAAGCCTATATGTAAATTCCCAATCCCCAAATGGAACGACAGTTGCGTTGGCTTTGGCTTTATTGATGACATGGCTGCCGGTGTATGCTAACAAGTTTGCTTTGAAATCAAGCAAAGAAGACTTTTCGAGTTTTTGGTTATTCCTTTGCGATTCTTACCTACTACTTAGTAAGAAAGCTTTTTCATTGCTAGTTTAATTTGCCACAACCTATCTGTGCGAATCTATTTTTTCTGAACTTGTTATCAACAAAGCAAAATCTAGGAACCGTCCTGATGTTGACAGTGACAATCATCTGGCTAGATCAAAGGCGGTGCCTAATATAAGGAACCTAGTCAGACAGTCCCGAGCGCAAGATTTCCAATGATCGTTTACTAATCTAAAAAGCATTGACTTTTTACCCATGGTTTGTTTTTGCATTCTATAAAAGGTCGCAAATACATAATACAATCTAACACATCAATTTTTTTAGAATGTTGAACAAGGGGGCACGAGTGCAAAAAGCCTCCGGAAGGGGGGCACGAGCCGTAAAAGGTTGAGAACCACTGGTCGAAAGTGCAGAGAAGATATTCTGAAATTAGATTTGTACATCATGTCTGGAGGAATGAAAAACGTACAAGGACGACTTCTATTATCGAATTCTTCGAAAGTTATCTTGCGTGGTGTACCAGGTATATACAGAGAACCTGATATAAAGAAAATCCTTATAGCACTCACGAACATTGATCCAGTTGGCATTTTGAAATTATGGGAAATAAAAGACAATGAAACCCCTCTGTACAGGAAATTGGAATATCTTAGTAGAAACCAAGTACATGCATCTTTTTGATTTACCAAACTATGTTGAGATTGATGGCAGGCAAATTTTTGTGAAATATAATGGGCAAAAGCAAACTTGCCGTGCATGTGATAGCACTGAACACTGTCCGAAAAGAAAGACGAAACAAAAAATAACACAGAAGTCGAATTTGCATCATCGCCAAAAGAAAATATTCAAGTAGAAATACAGACAGAAGGTGAAACCAAATATATAACAGAGTTCTGTGAAGACTACATGGATACAGAACAATTGTTAAGATGGGAAGATGTGGCATTTGTGGAAAAGAAAGATATCATATATGTTTCAAACAATATGCAGATAGACGTGCTTTCAACTAATAGAGATAGAGAAGAGGATTTCTCTGAAAAATTAGAATCTACAATGAAATCATCAAAAATTCTAGTTTTTCAGAAATATGTGGAGATTGTGTATTTGTAAATAAAGTATCCAAGAGTGAAAAAGAATTCTCCCGTCCCAACTGTAGCACCCAGTATTTAGTAACAAAAAAAATGCTGTAGCAATAAATACACCACTTACAAGAAAAAACTATTCATGGACAATAGCCAGAACCTTTTATGTAGTGATTGTGACCAGAGAATTGTACACTTATCCTGTTGCAATTACTTGGATAGCATGAAGTTGACAGAAGAATTCATTGAGGGTGGAGATCAAAAACCTCACTTAACTTAAACCTGAATTAAGACTAATCTCTTAAGATTAGTTAAACTCGGTTTAACTTCGAAAGTTAACCGGAGTTTAGCGGTTACTTAACTAATCTTAGTTTAAGTCCGACGCCACGAGGCATTTCACGAAACGTCGTGGCATGTTGCTCTTTGACCCTGCATTTCCATAGTGATGGCTTTGTGAACTGTTGTCTACGACCCAAAGTGGTTATATAGTCGCTTTGCTACAGCTGAAAAGAGCCGAATAAGGAGTGTTTTTTCAGCCACAGAACAGATTGCGCTGACTAAAATAGGTATAAAAGAGGTCTGTACTTCAGGCAAGAGCGATCCTAAAACCTGTAAGCCATGCAAACCTGCGTTTAGATATGAACAATATAAAATCGCCCATGAATATTATTTTCTCTAATGCATTATTTTCACTAATGCAGTTTAGTAATGTATTTTCCACTTGTGTGAGTGAACAGGCCCAAGCCATTTTCCCGTGGTCCATGTCTGTGTTTCTTTTTTTTTAATCGTGTTCTGTGTTGTAGACGGAAGATCAAAATAAAATTATAATTGTACAAAATGGACGTAATAGATATTTTGGAAATGATAGACAGTGAGGAATTGGGCGAGGAGAAACAAGTGATTTCGAGGTCATATTTGCGAGACGTACAAGATCCATTCCAATTACTTAACGAGAATGAGTTTACACGAAGATACAGATTTTCGAAAGACAGCGTGCTTATTTTACTCGATATTATATAGAATGATACTGAAATGGTTGTCCGCAAGCATGCCCTTCCACCAATGCCTCAACTTCTCACCGCACTACGTTTTTTCGCGTGTGGTCATTTTCAGATGACGATCTGATGGGAATGAGTCGACATACTGCTGGGAGATCTATCCATAGAGTTGCGATGTTTTGCCAAGCATAAACCGAAATTTATCGATTTTTTGGGTCAAGACTTTTCCCAAGTTAAACAAAATTTTTTCGATGTGGATGGCTTTCCATCTGTCATTAGGGCTATTGACTGCACGCATGTGCCAATTCATTTCTTCATGGGTGACGGTTTCATCTGATTCTTTTTTTTATCAGGGGCTCCAACCAAAATACCCTTTTTATATTCAGTGTTGAGGACTACGCCTCTTGATTTTTCGCCAATTCATGGTACTATTTGTTAAAAGTGACTCCAAAGATTATTTAATGAATGTTTTAATCAAACAGCACTAAATTTCCGAAGCAATAACCAAAGCAACACGTACAGATATAAGCAACACCAACTGCGCTGTGCACCAGACTACCGAGTGCACAAGGCTAAATCACCTTCACAGGTGGTTGGTCATGATCAGTCATCTGTAACTGATGACATTAAAGGTCATGCTCAACCATCTGGGAAAATGCTAGTTGCCAGAAATACAGTTAACAATCTCCCTAATTTTCAATTTTGAATAAAAGTTAACATAATGCATTCAACAGTTCGTTTGAAGATGCTCCTTTCTTAGTCAAACAATCTGCTAATTGTTGATCACTCGGGAGTTTCTTTATGCCGGAGATTTGATGGGATGAAACCATTTCTTTTAAACCATAAATGTCAGTCCTGAGACGTTTCTCTGATACAGCTTTTGTCGACTTAATTGCATCACAAAGGCTTTGACTATCAGTACAACATTCAATGCCAAATTTTTCTGGTTGAACATCTGACAAACAGAGAGTTTCAGCAAAAAGTGTGCTTCTCACAACTCTTTTGATTCGCTTGGATTGCCAACATAAAGGTATTTTCCTGTTCCCAACAATCATGAATATAATATGACCACCTTGGGTGCCTCCATCACACAAAATACCGAACGATGCATCGCTATAGACTTAACTTCATTGTCATTGAAGGCAGGAAATTTCAAAGTGATCTTTTGTGCTTTCAGTTGCATGACAATTTTTTTAACTTCCATGACAGTTTTAACAGTGCAATTCTTTAAAGCAGATGTGAGTGTAGATGATGCAAATGATACATCTGGCCGAGTTTGGTTTAAGACCCACAGTATCTGGCCAAGTAAAGATCGAACTTTCAAGACATCAGCTTCAATTAACAGCTCACTTCCACTCTTAGTTTTCAATGAACGAATATCAATCGGAAGCAGTGATTCAATGTATTTGTGCTGACTGAGAGTGATATTCAGTCTTCAATTCAAGTCCTAAATATTTAAAACTTTCAGTATATTCCACTCCAACTTTGAAGTGCTCTCTCAAACTCTTGATGAATTTGCCTTCGAATTCTTCCGAACCTCCCCACAGAAAGTCGTCCACATGCAAAGCGATCACCCCTTTTAAACCATGATCGAAATAATAGAATAAAGCAGGATCCACTACAGAGATACGATCACCTAATTTCAGAAGAGTTTCTTTAACACTTTCGTACCAATACATTGAGGCATCAGTAAGCCCATATACGCATTTCTTCAATCGCCACACAACATTTCGCTTCTGTATTTTCTGATCAGGTGGTTTGATAAAAATATCACGCTCGAGAGATTTTCCTTGTAAGAAGGCAGTTTTAACATCCATAGTTTTTGGCGATCATTTCTTTTGTGCAAGCAGTGCTAAAACAAGTCTGAGACTTTCTTTAGAACATGTTGGGGAATCCGTTTTTAATTTATTGAGACAACCTTCTTCAAAACCTCTAACTACTAGTCTAGCCTTTGGTTTTGGTCCATCGTCAGTCTTTTTTCTTGAACATACCCATCTTGTACTTAACAACTTCTGGCCTTTATTTTCTTCCTCTGTGTAGACATCGTTTTGCTTCCAGCTGTCCAGTTCCTTCATCTTTGTTTCAAGAAAGAGATCTTGGTTAATCAACATCACTTGATCAACAATTGGTATTTCTTCAGCTGGTAAATCATCCATAATAGATTCTCAACAGTGTCAAGGTCAATGGATGACTTTGTGCCTTTTTCAGATGAAGGTAGCAAATATTCAATATTATACCAGCTACTGTATTTTCCTGTTGCCTTACCAGCCCGTCCAAGTACTTTTGCAACTTTTTTATTGCCAGTTACATCATCTTTGAATTTTACTATTTGACCACGTTTAGGATCTTTCTTCACAACAGGTGAAGGCGAAGGTCCACCATTATATACCGAAGATTCATTTCCTTGATCAGTCTGTTTTAAACCTTCCTCGTTATCTTCATAATAAAGCATCTCTTCCACTTTTGGTTGTGATTGATCACCTGATATCTGTTCATCATCCTGTTCAACTTCTCTTTGTTTATCATGCATCAGCCTGCATTTATGTACACGTATAACTAGTCCGCCGTGCCTAAGGAATACTACACATCCATCAGCACCAATAACTTTTGCCGGACCTTTCCATTTTTCTAAATTCTCTCGCTTGTAATAATCAGTGTCTCCAGTCTCATAAATTTCATCGCCATGAAACCTGATTTGGTTTTGCAAAGCTCTTCGAATTCGTTCACTACACTCTGATTCAAGAAAGGCTTTTCTCGAAGCATGTAGGGCATTGAGATGCGAAGCAACCACATCACTCACAGAAGTGCCATCCAACGAAGGAGGTTTGTTTGTTAGCAAATAAGGAAGATTGGGATTCCTCCCAAATACCAGCTGATAAGGGCTGTAACCATGAACATTATGCAATGAATTCTTTGCATTTAGAGACCAGGAAAATGCTGCTTTCCAACCTAATGATTCAGAATCTCTAATTTTCAGCAAAATTTCAGTTAGAATAGAATTATGCCTCTCGACTAAGCCATTGCTCCATGGACTTTCCGCTGCACTCGTCTTGAGTTCTATGTTGAAATTTCAGCCATGTCACAAAAAACTGCATTGTTGAATTCTCCTCCATTGTCTGTGAATACCTGCCTCGCAGGTCCGTATATGCTTATCCGATGTGACAAAAATTAACTTGCTATGAACAATGAGGACTTGGAACTAATAATCAATCCAGAACTAAACTGGTGAACATGTCGATAGTACGCATGTACCATAAATTTGGGCTAAGCTGATGGAGATCTATCGCTATAACCTCGTTGAAATCAGTTGCACGTGGCAACCCAACACCCGGTTTTGGAGAAGGTTTCTTGTAAGTTATGCAAACTTGACAATTGTCTATAACTTTCTTCAACATATTTGAAGATAACTTGTTGAGTTTTCCTGAATTATTGATAAGTTTTGATAATCGCTCAGAAAGCGTGACCAAATTGTCGATGCAACTTTATAAAGAATCTTTTGCAGAAAAAACTTCATTGCTTTCATTTGCAGTGATAAAAATCCTTGGAGTAGGTTATTTATTGTCCTTGGGAAAACGGCTGACACAGTTTCTCCAGAGTTTTAACTGGTTTATGAAACATTTACACTCGGTTGTCTGCAAAGTCAATCACAGTATTTGATCTTCTCATGGAATCTTTACTCAATAATAATGGTATATTTTCATCAACCACGTCACAAGAAATGGTGACTTTAGTGTCCCCAATGTATCCCGGGATTTCTATGGAGTACAACGAATTGACTTTTCGACCATCACCAAACCTGAAAACCCTCCACTATCTTCAGTGTGAATCTTTTCTATTTCAGATTCCTTAATTCTTTGCAAATAATCAAGAAGCCAAATTTTCCCACATACTGTGCGAATACACCCAGAATTTAATATTGCATACCAGAATTTAATATTGCATATCCACATAGATCTTTGGTGAACACATCCATGTCATTAACAACTGACATTACATTGCTTTCTTCTGATAAAAATCCTTGGAGTAGGTTATTTATTGTCCTTGGGAAAACGGCTGACACAGTTTCTCCAGAGTTTTAACTGGTTTATGAAACATTTACACTCGGTTGTCTGCAAAGTCAATCACAGTATTTGATCTTCTCATGGAATCTTTACTCAATAATAATGGTATATTTTCATCAACCACGTCACAAGAAATGGTGACTTTAGTGTCCCCAATGTATCCCGGGATTTCTATGGAGTACAACGAATTGACTTTTCGACCATCACCAAACCTGAAAACCCTCCACTATCTTCAGTGTGAATCTTTTCTATTTCAGATTCCTTAATTCTTTGCAAATAATCAAGAAGCCAAATTTTCCCACATACTGTGCGAATACACCCAGAATTTAATATTGCATATCCACATAGATCTTTGGTGAACACATCCATGTCATTAACAACTGACATTACATTGCTTTCTTCTGAAAAATGATTTACTTTTCGCTCCTGATGTGGACAGGAATTTTCAGAATGCATCCTTGAACCGCAAATCTGACATCTTGCTCTGGAATATTTTGAATTTCTAGAACAATTTCTTACCCAATGATAAGTAGATCCACAAATAGCACATTGACTGATAGAACCATCTTTCCTCATTGGATTTGTACCTGCTCGCTTGCCATGATCTTGTCGGAATTCACCAATTTTTTTCGAAAAATATGGCGTCTCTTGTTTCACTTCTACAGAAGACGACGAAGCTCTTTCACCAAATATTCTTTTCAGTGCCGAACCCATAGACTTATATTTTAACTTCTCCACTGCTGCAAAAACCAATTGTTTTGCTTCTAAAGCAAGATTTGTTCCTTTGAGTAGTTTACACGCCAGTGCAGTGTCCGGTAACTCCATGCCAAATTTTCTCATTTTTGTGTTCACTATGTCAAATCTTGATAAGTAATCTCTGATGTTTTCATTTTCGAGTCTTACTAAATTTTCAAATTGGGTGTATGTTTCATAAGTTCTATCAGAAGTCTTACTTTCAATGACACCATCTAATTTTACAAGTAATGTTTGCATTCCATCATCTCTGTTCTATTCATCGGAGCTTATTTCTCGAGCAACTTCTCTAGCTTTTCCAGATAGGCTCAATGTAACTGCTAAAGCTTGCTTTTTCTTGTCAAGGTCTGTAATTAAACTCCACATAGAGATCTCATTCTTTCATTGATCGTGTGGCTTCTCTCCCGTCAACAAAGGAGGATATTTGTATCCTTGAGAAGTCATTGCACATCCTCTGCTACCATTTGTTAAAGTGAATCCAAAGTATATTTAATAAATGTTTTAATCAAACACCAATAAATGT